CCCCCCCTCCCAAATAAAGAAGACACTTAGAAAGCAGCTGGCATACATAAATAGGATTTTAGTTCACCAAACGTTTCACTCTTCGTCCTTTCTACCTCTCTGTGCATCACCCATCTCCCGACTTCTCCTTCCCCCCTCCCGCCAAACTTCCTACCCCCTCCCCAGCCCACGGAGACTGGGCTCCCTTGGGCAAGGAGGCTCCCCGATGGCTGGAGAAGGCCTGTTTTGATCCAGGAGCCCCTCAGCCCTCTGCTTTGACGATGTGATGCGCCAACAGGCCGTGCCCAGAAGGCGTTTGGCCGAGGAGCATCGGTCAAGCCACACGGCCTCCTCTCCCCTGGCACAAAAAAAAACCCTAATGTCTCTGACGGGGGAGGGCTGGGCACGGCTCCCCCTCTGGCAGCACAGGCTGGGCATCAGGCTTGGGAGAGCCTTCATGCCCAACAAAACCTGCCCTCTTCAGGGCTGGAAGCTCCTGCAGTCCACGAACTTCTGGCTCCTCTGGAAGGCGGCCGCATCACTGGGCCTAGCGGGGCTGAGCTGCAGCCGGCCTTGCGGGCAGGTGACCAGGGTGGCCTGTGTGCCGGAGAGGCTCCGGCTGCAGGCCAGGCGCTTCTCGTCCAAGACGGCCAGGTTGTACTCGCAGAAGTCCAGGAGAAGCTCCACCTGTTCGTGGAGCGAGAGGGACTTGTACCTCCTCTGGGCCAGGAAGCAAATGGCCTCCACGAAGGCTTGGAGGCTCATCCCTGGGGAGGAGGAAGAGGGGGAGGTGAGCCAGGGGGAGCGCTGAGAGCTTTGGGTCACCTAGGTTTAAGCCAGCCACCCCCCTCTCCCCCACCAGTATCGGCTAGACATTCTGCCCGATTGGAGGTGAAGGTGCCAAACATGGAGCATCGCCAAGCACTGAACCTTCTGACCAGGGTGGGCAGCTCAGCCATGCTGACCGCTGCCACTTCCCTACACCCACCCTGTAGCTGCAGTGGCCCCCCATGCTTGGCTGCCAGTCCCCAGGGTGGGTTAGGCAGGTGCCAGGCATGGACCCAGCCCCCAAAAAGAGGATTATTTAGGAAGCACAGCTGTCGCTTTGCCCAAGCCCTCCATGGCCAGGTGGGCAGAGGCTGGCGTGGGCTCCCCATCCGTCCTGCCATGCAAAGAGGGGCTTTAGCTCAGGGCAAGTGCTGGAGTTTGGCTTCTTATGGGGGGGGGAGGGGGCTGGCCAGCTCCTCGGAAGGGAGTAAATAAATCAGACATCCGCAGAGTGCACGCACCCCTCCCACTTCCTCTCTGCTCCCCGCAGGAAAAGTTCTATTACTGCCTCTGGCAAAGAAACGGGGTTTTTTACCTGCATCCCTGGAGTTAGCCACAGCCTCATTTCCATCGCCTGGCACAGAGAGCGGCTTGGGGGATATTAAAATAAATCCCATCCATTACAATTTTTAATAAAACCTGACAATTAACTCAGGGTACACCAGACAGGCAGGGAAGCGCATGCAGCTTCCTGTTGAGACGCTTCTGTGTAATCCAGATCGCATATTAAAACCTCAGAGAGGAGCCCCCCCCTCCCCATAAAGTGGGGGTGGGGGGCTGGTCTCCCCTGGACAAAAAGGCTTTCCACCCCCCCCAAAACGGTGCATCCATCCAAATGCTGCTTTTCTCACGGACTTAACCCACTGCTATGGATTATTTCTTAGTGCTGGCTCTCAGGCACCACCAACCATCTTATTATTCTTATTATTATGATCATCGTGATGATTGACAACCTCCCTTCCTTTGCTCTGCTCTTTGGCTCTTCTTCCTCTGAGCTCTGCTTAAATTCCTCCGATTAAGAATCCCTTTTCATTTCCTGCGACAACACGGCAGCCTCTTTCCCACACTCTGCATTTCTTCGCCGTTCTCCCGGTGAAAACCTGTGTTTCTTCTTTTCCCCCAAAGCGGCGATGATACAAAATCATTCCAAATCGATCAATGGGGGGGGGGGGGGAAAAAACCCGGAAAGGGTGCTGTTGGAATGTTTGGGGGGGCGGGGGGGAAGGCAGCCAGAAACACAAGCTAAACACAACTAAAAGGAACTGAAAACTGCACACTCCTCAGGGAAAGTTTGGATCTGAAAATGAAGTGGTTTTCCAGCGTTTCCCACCCTTGGGATCATGAATATTCATGTCTTCCCCAAATCTAAGCTCTGTGTCAAAAGTTAACTTTACTGGCTATATTGAGTTCTTCTACCCACACTGTGTGGAGATTCTCCGTCGTTCAGGTCATGGCTGTCCCAAAGGGGCACTTCCCAAAAAAAAAAAGCAACTGGACTTTCTTGGTCTTTCCTTGAAGACGTTTCACTTCTCATCCAAGAAGCTTCTCCAGTTCTGGCTGAATATAAATCCACCCATTCTGTCAGAACTGAGGAAGCTTCTTGGATGAGAAGCAAAACGTCTTCAAGGAAAGACCAAGGAAGTCCAGTTGCCTCTTGAAAAAAAAAACCTTTGGGACCCACTCCTGATTATTACCACTGATAATATGTGATATACCACCGATAGGGTCATCGTCCACTTGCCACGGACCACGCAAATTGTGCCCGCTGAGGCCAGTGGGGGAAGAAAACGTTCTCAATCAGGGTTTTACATGGCAATTTGGGTCTTCAAACACCATGTTCATATTTAGGGACGTTTGGCTGCGTTCTTCTCCAAAGAGAGAGAATCCGCATCCACGCCCCGATGGGCGGTCAGAACAGATGACCGGCTGCTGGCTGGGCAGAGCCTCTTGGTTCTCTGCAAGGCTTGGAGGCTTCATTGACAGCCCAGGGATGCCACCTTGTGCCTACATCGCCACGTGCTGGTTTTATCTTCCTCACCCCTCCCCAAACCGATGTTTTAAAAGTAAGTGTCTGTTTTCCCCTCTTTTTAACTCCGGAGGAATCAAACAGCACCTGCAACAGTTTTCTAAGGTGGAGAAACTCTACCTGCTACAGAGAGGTAGAGGCTGTATTCTAGGCCTGAAGGGGGCCAGCAGGTGTAAATACCTGAGCCAAGGGGATTGAGCACAGAAGCGAAGAGAACATTGAGGCAGAGAGCTGAAAGCAGGTGATCCAAAAGAGGAAGAATAATTTTTCCCCCTCGGTTATTTCGGTCTGGAGGAAGGCATTCGGGAGGGTGGGGAAAAAAACAACAGAATTGTACTCCTCAGCAGTCCTTCACATCTTTTCCCTTATTGTCACTTCGGTCAGCAAAACAAAAATACACGCCCACACAAAATCCGCGCTGGCAACATCCCACAACCGCAACAGATTCTGCTCACCCACAGCAATTTAAGATGCAAGCCCGACAGAACTCGGGCAAGGAAAAAAACACACACAAAAAAAAAAACCAGAGCCCTCGCCCAAGACTGAACAATGGAGCAGATGGTGGGGCTCCTCCGAAGCCATCAATGGGGGGGGCGGGGGGAGAAAAATGGCGCTTCCTCTCCCGTTAATCGCGTGTGTTAATTTCACTCAGCAGGACTCGCCAAACCCGAAAACTTGGCCCTTCTGCTAACCTGGCCCGGCGGCTGCCAAGCTCCACTCCAAGGTGATTCCCTCCAGGGTTGAGATCTGGAGGCTCCTGGGCCCAGTGCAGCAGTGTTCCCCGTGTCTGGCCTCCTCTGGCTTCCCCGAGCCCCACCCCCACCGACAGCCTCATGGTCTTTGTAATCCATGCCACATCAGGGACGTCCAGGTCTCGAAATCCGAAGGAAAGAGGCAGTCAGGCCAGCTTCCTAGGACCCGGGAAGGCTGGCTGAGGATTATGGGAGATGATTGCAAGGGTGGCCATCCCCTGTGACCACCTACCCACTTTGAAGACCCAAGAGAATGGACCTTGCCTCCCCTTCCCTTTGCACAGTGCAGCCTGGATCAGCCAGCTGATCGGGGCCAAGGGGGGCCCCCCACAGCCAGCCCCCTCCCAGGTGGGGGAAGGATGGACCCTGGCATGGCCAGGTGGAGCCCCAGTCTCTGCTTGGTCTCCTGGTCTCCCATGGGTGGCTGGTCAGAGGGAGGGAGACTCACCAGCCTCCCGCTGGTCCACGCTGGGCCCGATCCCCCGGCGAGTGATGTCGATGTACAGAATGTCGCCCGCGGCCATGCTGAAGCCACTGTTGCTGATCTTGCTGTTCCTGGGGAGAAGGAGGAAGGATGTTATTATGGGATGCTCTCATTTTCTCTGCCTGGAAAGCCTCCCCCCCCCCAGAGGTGGGATTCAAATTTTTTAACAACCGGTTCTGTGGGCGTGGCTTGGGTGGTGGGCGTGGCTTGGTGGTCATGTGACTAGGTGGACATGGCTTAGTGGTCATGTTATTGGCTGGGCATCACTCACATCGAGGCACACATCTCCTCGCCTGGCCTCACATGACTGTGGGGATGCTGCAACAGTCGTTAAGTGTGAAAAATGGTCATAAATCACTTTTTTCAGTGCCATTGTAACTTTGAATGGTCACTCCAGACAAGCAAAGTGCCAGCAAAGGAAGGGAAAAAACTCCAGAGAAGTTCCAGAGACAGGAAATCTAATCCTGCCAAGAACGTAATAAGGGTTAACGGAGAGGCAGTTTCTGTAAGCAACACCAGAATGTTTCCTTCCTGCCTTCCTTACAGGATTAGCCCAGTAATTTCTTCTAACAACCGGTTCTCCCAACTGCTCAGAATCCTAACAACCAGTTCTAGCGAATAAGTGTGAACTGGTAGAATCCCACCCCTGCCTCCCCCCCCCTTCCCCAGGCTCCCCCTCCTCGCCTTATAAACATCCGGAATCCGGTGGGGCCCAGCTTGGTGGTCCCCTTCACTCCCAGGAAGCGGATGAAGAGGGCGGCAATCCTCTCCACCAGCCGCAGGTAGCTGAACTGCTTGGCGTACTTGGGGAAGACTTCCTTCAAGCAGATGGCGGGGAGCTCGGCTTCTGGCGGGGGGCTCTCCCCCAACTCTGGCTTGTTCTCCAGCTCCTCCTCGAAGAAGCTTTCCTTGTCCTGGGCTGCCAGTTCCACCGGTTCAGCTCTGTAGTTCAAGAGGGAGACCTCAAACTCTCAGGAAATGATCCCCATGTAATGGGGAGCTGGAGGTGCCAAGGGGAGACTCTGCCCTATGGGACCCCAGCTGTGTGTTCTGACCAAGGCTTCCGAGACCGTACTTATACGCTTAGTTAATATGCTTATACGCTTAGTTAAAACAACTCTTGTTTTACTTCAACGCTGGGAAGTCTGTTCATTCCCAGACTGTAATGACTCCCAAACAGTTCCTCGAGATAAGCACCCACCTTTCTCTCCTTTGAATTGCTGCCAACAACTAAAGTGCCAAATGGACTGTAAAAAAACCAACTGAAGTACAAAGTCCACACCGAGCTTCAAAGATTAATCCACACAGAATGAACGACTTTGCTTCCTGCAAAGGTTTCTTCACCTTTGCCTGTCCTTTATACCTTATGGGAGGGGCAATCACCTCTCAGCCTTGCTCCCAAGTTGCCCCTTTTGTCTCAGCTGCTCTCGCCTTCTAGCAGTTCTGCACAGGCGTGCACTGGGAACAGGCTCCCCTTGTTCCTTTGCCTGGCTGCTGCCAGACTCTGGAGTCAGCACCCCACTCCCAGATGGTCCTGGCCCCATCTCTGCATCGGATGCAGGACCCTCCTCCGAGTCCTCTCCAGACTCCCAGACTGGTCCCTGTTCTTCCCCACTGTCCGATTCCGCACAGGCTGCCAGCGAACCACAACACCATGAGAACAAGGCAACAGCCCTGATGAAGGGGCATAGATGCTTCCTGGGTGCCCACCTGGATCTTCCAAAGGCAGGAAAGGCCCTGTGCAGACTGGCAGGCAGTTCCAGGCATCGTGCCAGGTGCCTGTCCGCTCCATTTTTACACAGAATCCCAGCTTTTAAAAACCACTTTCTAACATTCTGGATTCTCTTTTCCTGCCAAACCCCGATGGTAAAATCGATAGCAAACGAGCCATCCAACGACCTCTGAAGCCCATAGGCCAGATTCGGAGGGCCACCAGGGCCCCAAAAGGGCCACAAAAACCACGTCCTCCCCATTTGTGGCAGACAGGCAGCCTCCGACCCTCTAGGTTTTTGCCAAATTGCAATCCCGTTTTAGGAAACCACCAAGAGCAGCAAGAAAGGAAGCCACCCAGCCTGGGAACCAGAACCTCTGGCACCCACCCCAGAGAAGAGGGGGTCCACGCCGGTTTCCAACAGAGTCAAGCCCTGCATTCATTACACGACTGGCAGGTGAGAAGCCTTCTTGGGGGGGGGGGGTGACCCAGCTTAAAAATGACATAGGAATGCCTGCTTTCGAGGCATTTTATTTCCCTTGTTCTGTGCCTTTCGTCCAAGAGGGATCAACGGGATTGGGAGGAAGAAGGAAAGAGAGCCTGTCTGGGAAGTGTCATTGCAGAGAGCAAACATTTCAATTTGAGCCCAGCCTTTTTTTCCCACCCCCCAACATCCCAAGGACGGCTTATCTTTTATCCATGATTACTGATTTATTAATGCTTCCCTGCTATCGGCACCATGTCCTCTCTCTTCCTTCTCCGGGCACTTAATCTTTATGCTAATGTTGCTGCTCCCT